ATATATATATATATATATATATATATATATATATATATATATTCTTAAGTTTTCGCGGGTACTTACATGTATGGCATTCAGCTTTGTTCGGGTATTTTCCCACGTCATTGTAGTTGTGCTTTTAAAGTTGTAGTGACGTTTCAGCAGAATCTCATCTGCCATCATCAGGCTTCTGTATAGTGTTCTTCTGTGACTCAGGCTTTTATAGTGGTTTCAGATTTAAATTTGGGGCAGCCTATTGCTGTGCCAGAATGGTTTTTTCTTCACCCTGATTGGTTGGGAGTCTTGGTCTGTGTTTACTGGTCTTGGAGTTTGCTGTGTTCTGCTTGATTGGTGTTTCTAATATCTCCTGTCTGTTTTTTGGCTCTTTTTGTCTCTTGATTGGCCGACAACATTGTGTTACTTTATTGGAGGCCTTTAGTGCAGCTTGGCTCCGGGTAAATGGATGGCTATCATTAGTTAGGAAGCTAGGTTTCATCTGGGTGCCTGGTTGGGGTGTGTTTGAGCTGGAGGTATCAGGGGGGATCTGTCTGTGCCCAGGTGTTTGCCTGGCTTGTGGTGTGGAGATTTTTTTGTTTGTGAGTGCAGGCTTCCAAATGATTGACAGTCTGGTGGAATCATCTCTTCTATTCATGCTTTCTGGTCTTTTTCAATCTCTATGGCTTCTCTGATGATTCTGTGGCTGGGGTTTCTATAGTGGCTAGGGTTTTGGTGCCATTGAAGTTGATGCTATGACCTGTGGCTTCCATGTGTTGGACTAGTGAGGAAGTGTGTTCCAGCTTTTTGACTGCATTTTTGTGTTCATCCAGGCGGGTACTTATTCTTCTATTGGTCTGTCCAGTGTATGTGGCCAGGCATGATGCACAGGGGGCTTCGTACATGCCTTGGTTTTCCAGGTCAATTTTATCTTTGGGGTTTCTAAGGATGGCTGCTATTTTTCTGTCTGTTTTGAAGGCAATCTTGATGTGATGTCTGTGCAGTATCTTACTAATTTTTTCTGTAGTACCTCTTATGTAGGGCAGGACAGCTGTTCCATAGGTCTGTTCATCTTCTGGGTCTCTATTATGTCTCAGTGTGTTTTTGTGGATCAAGCTGGTGATTTTGCTTTTGTGGAAGCCATTGGCTGTCAGTACCTTAGTCAGGGTGTATAGTTCAGTCTTAATGTGTGTCTTGTCTGCCAGGCGTTTGGTTCTAGTAATTAGTGTTTTAGCCACGGAGTTTATCTGTGCTGGGTGGGTGGTGGGATTGGGCATTGAGGTAGCGGTTAGTGTGTGTTTTCTTCTGGTATATGTTGTGTCCTAGTGTGCCATCTGGTTTTTTTGTAGATTAGTACATCTAGGAATGGTAGTTGTTTGTTTCTGTTTCCATGGTGAACTTGATTTTGGGGTGTGTGCTGTTTAGGTGTGTTAGGAAATTGTTCAGGTTTTCTTTTCCATGGGGCCAAATCACAAATGTGTCATCGATGTATCTTAACCATAGTTTGGGTTTGTGGATGGCATTGGCCAGGGCTCTGGATTCGAATTCTTCCATGAACAGGTTTGCAATGATGGGTGACAGTGGTGATCCCATAGGGATACAAATTGAAGGAGCCCCTATGGGATTTTTTTTTTTAAAAATCCATTTTATGTGTATGCATATGTACATTGTCATGCCCCTGTTAGAATCTGAATCTGAGGAGGAAGAAAAACAGCTGACAAGGGAGTGGGAGTGTGGCTCTGTTGGCTGTGGAGGAAACTAGGGAAGGACAAAATCTGGCTTGGCAGAGCAGGGGAGAGGTAGAACAAGGGAGAGGGAATTCAGAGGAAGACCCAGGCCCAACCCTTCTTCATCCTAGGACACGCAGGGAGGAACAGAGAAGAGAGCAATGTTGCATGGCTTACGGGGAAAGGAAAGGGCCCTGATTCCCTTCATTACCCACATCTGGGAAGAGAGCTTAAAAGAAATGCATGCTGAGTGCTGCAACTTCTGGGAGCAAACATGAGTTTATTTTGTGTTGACTTTGCTTATCTGTGTTCCTGGTGTCTTCCCAACTGTGTTGAGTTATTGCCATGCCTTCATGTCTGGAATTCTTGCTCCTGCCCTGTCAGACTAATTACTTCAAATTTCCTTGATTGGACTTCTTGATTCTCTGCAGCCAAAGCTGTTCTGGGAAAGTTTTTCTCCAGCCAGAAGGTAACCAGGACGTTGGAGGCAAAGTTGGAGCTAATAAAGGGACTACTACTGACTATCTGATGGTGTTGCCTTTGTGTCATGCCCCAGGTCATCATATGTGTGTGTGTGTGTGCACGCACGCATGCGTGTGTGTGTGTGTATGTATGTATGTGTGTATGCATGTATGTATGCGAGAGAAATCTGGTTCATTCTGGTTCAACCTGTAGCAGTAGAA